GCACCAATAGACTGCTCTCTGGACACAGAGAGGCTAGTGTGTTGTTTTGAGACAGGGTCTTTCTGTAGCTCGGCTTGGCAGACTTGGTAGTATGTAGCCCATTGTTATTGAACTTCCTACTTAGGAGAAGGTGTCCTTGACCTCCTGATCTTCCTGTGTGAAGCCTCCTTAACTCTTGAAATAAAGAAATCTGACTCCTGAGTGCTGGGAGTAAGGCATGCGCCTCTATGTCCAGAGTCACTCACAGATGTAGGCAGAGACCTGGAGAATGGTAGGTAGTGAACGAAAATTGCCTCTCATTGGTTACTCTCTAACATTAACATGACCAATTTCACCAATTTGTTTGGGACTTGTTGATGAATTTGTCCAAATCATTGAGAATATTTCTAAGAGAGAAATCAGTACACATAAGTATTGACTTTGGAGACATCTGATGAACAATAAGGATAAGGGTCTGTAGTAACAGGTTGATCAATCACATGACCAAGAGGACATGGTCTAATTAATGGCCAGCAAAATGAGCAAACAAGAATGAACATGACCATTCCTTGCTTGTGTGTGAAATGGTACATGATCATCCCAGGACAGGGCCAAGGGGATACACAATCAGTATTTGGCACTCATTGGTTCAACCCACATTTATGCCTTGAAAATGGCCAATCTCAATAAGAAATGACCAACTTCACTTTCAGTTCAGAACAATGTAGCTGGACATTAATCATCATCTTGGCTACCTTCATAGTCGGGAACATTTCTCACTTTCCCTTAATAAACTTTCCCTTTGCTCACTCCTTTGCATTCCTTATCCCTCATGAAGGACAGAGCAAACTGTAGAGCCAGTGGCTCAGGTGGTTCTGGTGGCCACTGATCAATCATTGATCACCTTAGCATCTAACACAGACAAGAAAGGTATCCTGCTTTCACCACCGTAACTATGGTAAAATATAACAAAGAGCAATGGAAGAGAGAGCTTACTTGGCTTACAGTGTCCAGGTCACTGTCAGTTAGTGGAATTCAGGTCAGAATTCAATCACCTACACATATCACTGATACAGTCAAGAGAAGAGAGACCATATAGGCATTCTTGCTTGTTATTCATCTAGCTTGTTCTGTCCTAACACTGCAGTCCTGGGTCTGAGACTTGAGGTAATCGAGTCTGTCTGCAACAATGAAGACAAATGTGCCCAAGGGACATGTTGATCTAGAATGTCAACAGTCATCTAGCCCTGCTCTGAGGGTGTTTTGTGAGTTAGTTGTGTGATCTGATGGCAATGGTGGATCTTTTAGTTGAGAGCTGCATTCTAAATACACATCTTCTTTCAAAACACACAACAAGTTACATTTTAAAAAGATCAAGAGCTGGAGAAAAATTAGCGATTAAGAATGCTAGTTGTACTACCTGAAGACCTAGCTTCAGTTCCCAGCACTCACATGATAGTTCACTCAAGTTCCAGGAGATCCAGTGCCATGTTATGGCCTCCAAGGTTACCAGGCACCCATAGAATCATGGCTTTAGATGCACCTATACATATATTTCTAAAATGGTAAGTTCATAAAAAGGACACCGATGTAGCACAGTTTGAATCAGGATTCCTTAGGATGCTTTGAGCACTGAAATTGATCCACATGTGTGACACCAAAATTAAAGAGCTGATAAAGATGACCAGGAGTTTAAGATAGCCTCTGATACATAGCAAGTGCAATATAAACCTAAAATATATGAGACCCTGTTTCTAAAAATAACCTTGAAATAAAAACAGGCCCATAAGGATCAGGGAATGGTGAGGTACAGCTATAATCCTAGGAATTCAGGAAGCCAGACTGCTTCAAATGTAAGGTCAGCATGGGCTACATAGCACGAGGCTTCCTAAAGCAGAGCTATGCAAAAGAAGCTGCCTCAAAATAACAAAAAGCAGCAGAGTGGGAAGCAATTTGGACATGTACACAGCGTGACTTCCAGAAGCTGTCTAAGAACTTCCTCTGAGAAAGTGCACCTGTGTCCCAGCCAGCATCCAGTGCTATTCTCTGTGTGACAAACCACCGTGTATCAAGGACCTCAAGGATCTTAGCCCTCTATGAACCTAACAGATTGATCAAAGGAACTGTGACCCCATCTGCACATGATGGAATGATCACTGGAGCCTGTGGCCCTGTCTGCACCTGGAGGAGCGAGCTGGAGAACTCCTTTGCCTACATCAGGAGGAGTGATCATTGGAGCCACAGCTCCCAACGGCACCAACTGGAGAAACAGTGACCCACCGTGAAGCTCAAACTCCACTTGTACTGAGGGAGGAACAGATGGGTAGACGACAGTGTAAGATACACTCCACAACATAAAGAACAATAGGACACCAACAGAAACCAGTGGTTCTACAACAGCAAGACACGAATATCCCAAACCAGATGAAGCAGAAGACAATGACCTTAAAAATAACTTGACGGAGATGATGAGGCCCTTATAGAGGAAATGGCGACAATCCCTTAAAGATGTAGAAGAAAACAGAAACAAAAAATTGGAAGAAATCAACAAGATCCCTTAAAGTAAACCGAGAAAAAAACAATCAAACAGGTAAAGGAAATGGTTAAAGACTTAAAAACTGAAACAGAGACAATAAAGAAAACACAAGCCCAGGGAATTCTGGAAAGGAAAAATCTGAGTAAATAATCAAGAATGACAAATGTGAACATAAACAACAGAATACAAGAGATGTGAGAGGGAATCTCATGTGTTCTAGATACCATAGAGGAAATGGATTCATGGGTCAAAGAAAATGTTAAATCCAACAAGCTCTTATCACAAAATATCCAGTAAATTGGGGACACAATGAAAAGACTGAAACTAAGAATTACTAGGGATAAAAGGAGGTGTAGTCCAGGAAATCAAAGGAACAGAAAATACATTCAACGAATTCATAGAAGATAACTTTCTGAACATAAACGATATGCGTGTGAGAGTACAAGAAGTTTACAGAAAACCAAATAAATTGGATCAAAGAAGTTCTCTTGCCACATATAATGTAAGCACTAAGCACATGGAATAAAGAAAATATTAAGAGCTTCAAAAGAAAATGCCAAGTAATATATAAAGGCAGACTTATCAAAAATATATCCCACTTCTCACTGGAAACAAGGAAAACCAGAAGGTCTTACACAGGAGTTATGCAGACACTTAAGGGACCACGGATGCCACCTTAGTATACTATACCCAGCAAAGCATTCAATCACTATAGGTGGAGAAAAAAAGATACTCCTTGACAAAGCCCGATTTTAAAAAGTACCTATCCACAAAGCCTGCCCTACAGGATGTGCTAGAAGTAAAACTCCAACCAAAGGAAGTTGGCTACGCCCACAAAAAATACAGGCAATAGATTATCCCCCCACCAGCTAAATCCTAAGGGAACCCATACAGAATACTACCAACAACACTAAAACAAAAGTAATGGAAAGTAGCGGTAACTGGTCATTAATATCCCTTAATATCAGTGGTCTCAACTTGCCTATGAAAAGACACAGATCAACAGAATCCATATGGAAACAGAGTCCATCCTTCTGCTGCATACAAGATCCACCTCCAGTTCAAAGACAAGCGTTACCTGACAGTAAAGATTGGGAAAAGATTTTGCAATCAAATGGACCTAAGATACAAGCTGGTGTAGGTATCATAATATCTGACAAAGTATTCGTCAAACTAAAATTAATTAATGGAGATGAGGGATATTTCATATTCATCATTACAGAAAAAAATCCATCAAGATGAATTCTCAATTCTGAATTTCTATGCCCCAAATATAAGGACACCCACATTTGTAAAACAATTTTTGCTTGGAAGCCTGCCATGCTTCTGATCTTCCAGCTTGTGTATAAGTTCTTTCTCTGGTAAATAAATATATCAATTTCCATATTATATTGGCTATCCTTGTCACCCAGCAATACCACTTTTGGTCATATACCCAAAAGACACACACCACACCACAGGGGCATTTGGTCAAGTGTGTTCATAGCATTATTTGTAATAGTCAGAACCTTAAAAACAACCTAGATGCCCTTAGGATGCATAAAGCAGTTGTGGTACACTTACACAATGGAGCATACTCAGTGGTAAAAGCAAAGGAAAACAAAACAAAAACCATCTTGAATATTGCAGGCAAACGGAAGGAAGTAGATAAAAACACTTGAGTGAGGACTAATATGGCATATTCACTCATAAGTGGATATTAGATATTAAATAGAAACCAACCAGTCTACAGTCCACCACCCCAGAGAAGCTAGGTAGCAAAGAGGGCATACGTGGATCTGCATAGGAAGGGAAATAGAGAAGATCTCCTGAGTAAATTGGGATCATGGTAGAAGGTGAGAGGGGAGGAGGGAAGGGGACTGAGGAGGAGAACATGACGTAATGGGGTGGTCAGTTGGGGGAAGGACAGGGCAGGAGAGCAAGAGAGAAATGCTATGACAGAGGGAGCCATTATAGATGAGCAAGAAACCACAGAGATCCACAATTAACCACTGGCCTGAGCTTCTGGAGACCAGTGAAAGAAAGGGAGGAATGCTAATATGAGCAAAGGGGTCAAACCAGGATGGAAGAAAATCACAGAAACAGCAGACCTGAGCTAGCAGGAGCTCACTGTCTCCACACAGACAGCTGGGAAACCTGCTTAGCACTGATCTAGGCCCACCTGAATGCAGTTGACCATGGTGTAGCATGGGCAGTAATTGTGGGCCAATGGCAGTAGGAATGGGATCTATTCCTGTGCATGAACTGGATTTTTGGAGCACAGTCCCAATGGAGACATACCTTGCCCAGCCTAGGCACAGCGGTGTAGGCCTTGGTCCAGCCTCAACTTGGTGTTGTGACTGACCTCATTGACTCCCCATGGGAGGCCTTTCCCTCTCTAAGGAGAAGATGCAAGTTGGGATGGGTAAATGTAGGAAGGAGCAGGAGGGGAGGGAGTGTGAACTGGGAAACAGAGAATAAATACAGATTAAAAAACAACAAAACCTCATTAAACAACACAATTTATTTCAAACTTAACAAACATAACTCAATGATATGGGGGTGCTAGTAGAGCTGATGGAGGTGGTCTTCTTTCTCTTGGTGCAGGGGCATCTCCACTGGCTTTTGAAACTTTAATAACACCAAGCTGCAGAGAGCAGAGACATTAGGTGACACAAGTGCTAACAAAGGTGGGAACACCTTGTCAGCCCACTTCCTGCATCTGCTGGTCTGTAATAAGAATCCCAAAGGCTTGGCTTGCTGGGCTCTGTCATCACCTAGCATCCAGAGAGGACCACCCCAGTGTTCTCAGCAGCATCACCCTGTTTCACTCTCCTGGTTTTGCCACCAGGCCACTCCTGCAGGTCAGGTCTTCCAAACGCTACCTGGTCCTTCAGCTAACTTTGTGCTTCTTTTTTTATCACTATATTTACTTGGGTGTGTGTGTGTGTGTGTGTGTGTGTGTGTGTGTGTGCAGATACACTCACCTGTAATATGTTTACAGTTGTGTTCTAGTGCATCCGTGTGCTTGTATATTTCCATGTGTGTTCTCCAACGTTTATGTATGAAGCACATGTATTCCATCAAATGTCAACTCCGAGATGCTGTACACAGGCTTTCTCAAGTCCAGCAAGGTTGAAGCACCTGCAGCCAAGAGTGGTGTTGTTTGTGATGGTTCACAACTTTGTTCCCAGCACTTGGGAGGCAGACGCAGGCAAATGTCCGTGAGACAAAGGCCAGTCTGCTCTAGAGAGACAGAGACAGACAGAAAAACCCCGTCTCAAAAATATAATAAAACAAAATGACAACAAAACAAAAAGGACATGCACCTGTCTCCACCTCAAGTGCTGGGTTAAGAAGCCTCAGCCAGCCTGCTGATTTTTCCCTCACTTCCTGGGGAATGAACTCATATCTCACAATGAAAGTAGGCACTCTATGGACAGACAGGCACAGTCCCAGCCCTCCTGAGCTTCTGAATCTTACCCAGGTGTGGATTTCACAGCCTTTACTCGCAACCCAGTCATCTCCATTGTGGAGTGCAGGTCCAGGAGCAGCGTGGGTCTATGAAACTTGTTCAGGGACATCTGGGCAGCCCAGCTCTGAAAGCTATTTTGTCTGTAATCATAAATGGGAAAAAGCAATGAAAGAAGGAAGGACAAAAGCATGTTAGATGGGTTTAGCAGGGCAAACCTCCCTCCACTCCGTTCTGAAAGCCACCTAACCACTACAATCTTGTCATGAGTTGAAGCAGGGACTGCAGCAGATCAGGTGCCCTAACAGGGAACAGGTTTAGAGAGGCCACAAGGGGGCAGCAAAACATCAGAGTGTCTCACAGCTTCAAGAACCAGCTGCATTCTGCCTTTCTCATTGGCACAGGAGGGAGTCTCCATGCCCTCCATGCCTCCCTCCTCACTCCTCCCACATGACCCATAGGAAGTACTTCCTGAACAGCTCCTTAGTGCAGTGCACAGGCGATGACTCAATGCTCAGGCCAATTCCTGAGCATTCACATCTGGATGCTCTGGTTTCATGTCTCCATGGGAAAGGCATTCTGATTCACCAGGAATATGAGGTTGTGATGGGCTTCCATGGCATTCTTTTCTCAGATATGGGCATTTAGATTTGGGAGTAGGGACTGATTATTGAATATAGGGTCATTCCTCCTAGACTGGCCTCAAACTCTCTGCTTTGGAAGATGACCTTGACTGCCTCATCCGCTTGTCTCTACTCCCAATATCAGGGAAGCTCCACCTGGTTGTAATTTGTGCTGGGAAAGAACCCAGGACCAAGAATCACTCTGCAGGCTGGACACACTGATCCCTAGTCCTCCTGATCACATTCTGTTTTTAGAGAGAGATCTCACACTGCCACCAAAGCTAGACTACGTTTCCTTATATAGCCCAGGCTTGCCTTGAGTCTATGGCAAGTCTACAATCTAAGCCTCCAAAGTCCTGGAATTATTGGCATACTCCCTCACCCTTGCTCTGCCATCTAGTCTTGAGAGAAATCCACAAAGTACCTAGAAAGGGCAAATGGGAGGGCATGAGACCCCAGGAGCGAGGGCACTAAATCTTCAAGCAGTGGGGTTGAAGCTCCATCTTCCTACTATCATCAGCTGCTGCTGTGGACATGCGCTGGAGAGTCTTCTGCCTTCCATTCTGGCCCATCCTGAGGGCTACTGATCAGAACGGGGCTTCAAGGATACCTGGCTACACAGGTGATGACCTGGGCTGCTGCACACTGACCTGACTGTCCTTGACATGGCATGGGATGGGGACAGCTTCCTTAACCTCCCTCCCGCCCAGATCACAACTCACCAGCTTCAGAAGAAAAGTGGTGTCTGGCCACAGTTCTTTCTTTCAGTCCTTCAAAAGACTCTCAGTATAAAGACAGGTCATCTAGAAATGGTAAAAGAGAAACTGCAGGGTAAATGGTGCAGTCCTGTAATTCCATAGGGACGACCCAGAACTCCAGATCTTCCTCAGCTACACTGAATCCCCGGATAGGCTGAGATACAGGTGTGACTCAGTTGGGACAGCTCTTGCCCAGCATACAGGAAACCCTGGTTTTGTCCAGAGAACAAAATAAACCAGACTTGGTAGAGAATTACTGGAATCCCTGCATTTGGTACATGGAGATTGAAAGATTCAAAATTTAAGGATATCCACAGCTACATGCATCATTTAAAAACAAAATCACAAACCCCAATGGGATTAGGTTCTGACCTTAAGCTCCAACACTCAGTTGGCCAGTGGTAGGAGGCTGCCAGTCCTTCGCAGCCTGGACTGCATACAGAAAACCTGTATCAGCATTCGAGGAGAGGGGAAAAAAATTTTTAGGGGACTGATAGTTATGTCACTGTGGGGTTTAAGAGTCAGGAATTTTGGAAATGACAATAAAATCCCAGGAATATAGGGTCTAGACAGTATTGAGGAAAAACAGGTAAGGCAGGATTGCTGAATTGTACATAATGAGTATGTGTGTGTCTGTCTGTTCTCACCCTTTGAGCACATGTGTAGACCAGAAATATTCATCCAGTGCTTTTACACCTTAATTCTGTTGTTTGATTTTTGAGACAGGGTGTCTCTGTGTATCCCTGGCTGTGCCTGAACTCTCTCTGTAGCCCAGTCTGTAGACCAGAATTCACAGAAATCAGGCTGCCTCCCCTACCACAGTCCTGGGTTTAACGGGGGCTCCGGGCCCATGGGCAGCCACCTTACTTTTCACATGAGGGTCTCACTGATCCCAGGCCAGCAAGCTGCCATTCCTGCTTGTCCTTTCATTCACACAGTTCCCAGTGCCAGTGTCCATATCTCAGACTTCAAATATTCAAAATAAGCATGTTCTTTGTGATGGGCTACACTCAGCCCAGAACTCCCTAAACTGGCCCTGAGCTGCTCCTACTTAACAGGGCAGAAGGGTTCAGACCCGGAAATTCTGGCTTGGGGAGTTGGAGAAGACGAAGATCCTGCTCCAGGTCATCTTTCCTACAGAGTGGCCTGCCTGGGACACAAGAGACCGAGACTAAACCACAAATGCTAGCAGCGTTCCAGTTCACCTAAGGAGTTCTCAGTCTGCAGCACCACAGGGAAATAAATCCAGCATGGACAACACAGAGCGCTCAGTCCTCCCCGGTTACAAGGCAAGACTCTGTGTGAACATTACAGCAAACACAAGAAAAGAGTTGGGGCAATACTATTCCTACCAACCAAATGTGGACAGAAACAAATATCAGAAAATCAAATGGAATTGTGCATGGGACATCTTAGCACTACTGTCAGGGAATGAAAGACAATTTCCATCTTGGGTTGTAGACAGAATAGGCTCCCTTAGCATACTTCTGTGATTCATTTATATTTAAGCGGGTGATTCAAGGTTTCATGCCTTAGTTATAATTTCTGTATCTACTCCTGTCAATGTCAATTTTATGTTTGTATTAGTGATTACTGTTCATGGCCTTCTTCAGGGAATAGTGATTCTTTTCAGATCCAGATTAAGACAGAGCAGCTTACCTGCATGGAAGTTGTTCATGTATAAGTAGACACACAGGGACAGAGATGGAGGCAGAGAAAGTTGAGAGAGAGAGAGAGAGAGAGAGAGAGAGAGAGAGAGAGAGAGAGAGAGAGAGAGAGGTGTGGAGAGAGAGGTGTGAAAAGTCTCACCAGGGGCTCAATATTCCAGTGGATGGGGGGCAGGTGAACAGTATAGTTCTGTTACTATTATCAGAATGCCAAGTCAGATTTTCCTCCCAGGCATGACAGAGTGCCCTGAGAAATCCTCCTCAGGGGTGTCTGAGCAGCTCAGACTGGTCCAATGGCTGAGGCCAGAACAGGATCCTGGGGAAATCTCCCTTCCCAGGCTGTAGATGGTAGTTAGGAAAGTATAGGGTTCTGGGGTGCTCGTGCAACCTCAGAGTAGAAGACACTCCTTCCTTCTCAGATTCGGTTAAAAATGTCTTTCCAGTGAGCTTAGTGTTGCTAAGAGGACATGTCTTAGAAATTTGTTTTAACTTCGTGGAACAAGATATGGATAAGCTGGGAAGCACAGATGATGTCCCAGCAAAATGAAGATTCCAGGAACCTTTTCTTCCTGGGTTCAATTTAGCAACTACCGTGCGCGGCAGAGAGCACACTGTGGCTGGCACTAGGCAGGGCCTACAGCAGGTTCTGGCCCCTCTTGAAAGTTTCAGATGTTCCATGTTCAGGACACCCATCATTCCTTCATGCTGAGGCAAGCGGTGTTGAGTCGGCATCCAGTTCTCAAAGTGAATGACGGCCTTGAAGAAGCAAGCATGGAGAGGCAGCTGGTGAGTAACTAGAGGGCAGAAGTGGTGGAGAGAGCAGAATCGGCTGCCCTTGAGTCACTCCCCAGATGAGAATTCCCAAGTTTTGCTCTGAGTGGGGTCTGAGGTCTCAGGACTTTTGCAGGTTTTTGCAAGTGTTTGGCAGGAGGTTCCCCTCTAGAGCATTCTATAGGGCCTCCTACAGGCCAGATTCCCAACCTGAGAGCCCATCTTGGGGATGATGGGACTGGCTAACTAGGAATACTCTCCCTGGGGTGAAAAGGGTCACCCCATGGAGAAGATCATGTTCTCTGCCAGGAAACAAGGAGCAAAGGACAGTCATTACCCAGAGTGCAGTCTGTGATGTTTACCCAGGCAGGGGAGACGGGAAGGGTCTATTGTTCCACAACACAGCCTGGGCCACCTTTGTAACTCTGCCCTGTCCTCTGAACAAGAACCCATGTAATGCCTGCCCTTCCCGCCTGGCATTTCACCTGGTGAGAGCTCAGCTGGTGTGGACAGCTGTTCTTCCTCTGCAGGAGCAGCCTGTGGACACACTGCCTCCTGGACGTCTGGCCTGGCTCTCCTACGGGATTGTCCACACCTCAAGCCAGGCCGATCCCCAACCCGTGGCTCACAAGCCACGGAGCTGGGTCTTGACATCTTCAGGACTACAAAGCAGAAAGAAACAGGAAGTAGACACTTAGTGACTTTGGAACACACAGAACTTACTGTGCTGGTGATGCAGCACCTAAGCATCCCTCTGCCTGCTTTACCTATACCCCTGCCTCCTGCTCTCCCTGCTTTGATCAGCATCTGCTGTCCAATTCTACCTCAACAAGCCTGAGGTCACACTGGAGGGCATCCTCTGGGGTTGGTCCTTCTGAAGGAACAGGTTCTTAAGTTCACATGTGTGCCCCAACGAAGGGTCTCACACTCACTTGGGATCAGAGTAGAGATTGGTTGGGGGACTGGAGGAGTCTGGTTGGGGGGGGGATGTGCAGGAGGGGAGGGGTGGGATATGTGATTGACATGAGAAACAAGCTTGTTTCCGACTTAAATGAAAATAAAGGAAAACAAAACAAGTGGGCCAAAAGTGGGCATAGTCATCATCTGTCACAAAGGACAGGAGGCAAAGAATGAGTAAAATAGTAAGTGTTCCCACCTGATTATGTGGTTGACTCCACGATCCCGTTTCTTTGGAGCCAGGTTCTGACAGGCGTCGTGGCTTCTCCTGGCAGGTGGCAGGCAGCAGCACAGGTGTCTGAGGCAGTTCACCATTGTTTTCTTGAAACCCTTCCACCTGTGGCGCCTCCGGTTTGGGGAGGAAGCCTGGCCGGCAACCTCAGGCTGGCCATGGGTGATGGCCTCCTCCTCTGTGATGCTGTCAGTCTGACTCATATTGGTTTCCTGGGTCCTCCTCACTTCCAGGGAGTTGGTTGCTTTCCGATGCCTGTCCTCATGCTGCATTATGTTCTTTTCCTCTATGATGGCCTCAGTGTGAGTCACGGTCTCTCCATCGACCATGGCCCTTTCTTCTGTGATGGTCTCATCCTGAGTATTGGTCACTTCTGGTGTGATGGCCTCTTCCTGGGATATGGTTGTTTCTCGTGCGATGGTCCCTTCCTCATTCATGGCCTCTTCCTGTGTGATGTTCTCTTCTTGAATTGTGTCTTCCTCTGATGTCATGGTGCCTCCCTGCCTTGTATCCCCAGAGGAGGAGCCTCTGGAAGGTACACTCTGAGCTGTGTCTATGGAGCTGCAGAGTTCCTCTTGGTAACTCCAGGAAGATACACTGCCTGTGTTACATGTGGTCTCCTTGTGGTCTGGGCAACAAGAATTGGTGTACATTAAGAGGGGGGATGAGTATGAATAGATACTGTCAATCAGGCTGACATGTGACCCGATCTTTGACTCAGAGGAACTCTCTCTCATTACCACGCTACTGCGTGTAAGGTCAAGAGAACGGGGCCTGTTCGGGAAGACTAGGTATGGAGGTTGGGGCCTCTCTGATTGGCGGCATAGGGTGGCAGGCATGCTATGCCTTGTGCCACCCTGCCTGGCATTGTTCTCATGCTCTGTCTCCTGAAGATTGGATGGCAAGGAGAAGGCCAGGGGAGCAGCCTCAGTAGCTCTCCTTAGGCGCACAGGGGAGGTGTGAAGATCTGCCAGGTCGAGGACAAGGCCTGACTGCATGGGTTTCACCTGCTGATGGCAGCTATCTCCCACAGAAGACTGGTGTTGTCGAATCAGGTAAGGGGCTATCACCTGGTTATCGTTTTCTTCTCTCAGCGAATGAATGGTTTCCTCAGACTTATACCCCATGACCGTCATGTTGCTGACAATTTTAGCAGCGGTCAGGGTGCCTGGGACTCTCTGTGTGGAAGGAGGCAAAGGCACAATTGTGTCCCTGATCATGGGGCACGTCATGATTTGGTCAATGTTCGGCCTGCTGCCCGGGTTGATCATCAGTAGTCTGGCGATGACTATGGAAATATTGGTGGAAATGTGCTGAGGTATTCTGAACTTGGAGACAAGGATCTGACGTGTCACACCTTCACAAGTGCTGGCATCGAAAGGAAGGCAGCCAACCACCATAAAGAAGAGAAGTACTCCTAAGCTCCACCTATCTGCTGCGAAACCATCATAAGGTTTGCCTAAGAAGAGTTCTGGAGCACAGTAGACCGGGGTACCCCAGTAATCTTGCATCATGTGCCCTGGGGGCACTTTTGCTGCAAGGCCAAAATCGCACAGTTTTGCCTTGCCCAAGTTGTCAAGTAATATGTTTTCGGCCTTAATGTCCCTATGGACAATCTGGTTGTTGTGGCAGTACTGGACTGCAAGGAGAATCTGGGTAAATAGCCTCCGTGCCTCGCTCTCACATAGACACTTGCGTTGCAGGATGTATTCAGAAAGATCTCCCCCTGATGCATGTTCCATCACTAAGAAGGTGGTATCTCTTGATTGGAACACGTGCAATAATTCGATTATGTGCGGGTGTTTGAGACATTTCATGATGTGGATTTCACTAGCAATGAGTGAGGCGTTACCCTTCTCATTTCTAATTATTTTGACAGCCACACGGGTTACAGTAGGAATGTGGATGGCCAGTTTTACCTTCGAAAAGTTGCCCTGGCCCAGGGTCTTCAGCATCCTATAATCAGGCATGGAGGACTCTTCATAGGAGGAGCAGGCCTGTCCCCACCATGGAGTGACTCCACGATCCTGTTTCTTTGGAGCCAGGCTCTGACAGGCGTCGTGGCTTCTCCTGGCAGGTGGCAAGCAGCAGCATAAGTGTCTGAAGCAGTTCACCATTGTTCTCTTGAAACCCTTCCACCTGTGGCGCCTCCGGTTTGGGGAGGAAGCCTGGCCGGCAACCTCAGGCTGGCCATGGGTGATGGCCTCCTCCTCTGTGATGCTGTCAGCCTGACTCATATTGGTTTCCTGGGTCCTCCTCACTTCCAGGGAGTTGGTTGCTTTCCGATGCCTGTCCTCATGCTGCATTATGTTCTTTTCCTCTATGATGGCCTCAGTGTGAGTCACGGTCTCTCCATCGACCATGGCCCTTTCTTCTGTGATGGTCTCATCCTGAGTATTGGTCACTTCTGGTGTGATGGCCTCTTCCTGGGATATGGTTGTTTCTCGTGCGATGGTCCCTTCCTCATTCATGGCCTCTTCCTGTGTGATGTTCTCTTCTTGAATTGTGTCTTCCTCTGATGTCATGGTGCCTCCCTGCCTTGTATCCCCAGAGGAGGAGCCTCTGGAAGGTACACTCTGAGCTGTGTCTATGGAGCTGCAGAGTTCCTCTTGGTAACTCCAGGAAGATACACTGCCTGTGTTACATGTGGTCTCCTTGTGGTCTGGGCAACAAGAATCGGTGTACATTAAGAGGGGGGATGAGTATGAATAGATACTGTCAATCAGGCTGACATGTGACCCGATCTTTGACTCAGAGGAACTCTCTCTCATTACCACGCTACTGCGTGTAAGGTCAAGAGAACGGGGCCTGTTCGGGAAGACTAGGTGTGAAGGTTGGGGCCTCTCTGATTGGTGGCATAGGGTGGCAGGCAAGCTATGCCTTGTGTCACCCTGCCTGGCATTGTTCTCATGCTCTGTCTCCTGAAGATTGGATGGCAAGGAGAAGGCCAGGGGAGCAGGCTCAGTAGCTCTCCTTAGGCGCACAGGGGAGGTGTGAAGATCTGCCAGGTTGAGGACAAGGCCTGACTGCATGGGTTTCACCTGCTGATGGCAGCTATCTCCCACAGAAGACTGGTGTTGTCGAATCAGGTAAGGGGCCATCACCTGGTTATCGTTTTGTTCTCTCAGCGAATGAATGGTTTCCTCAGACTTATACCCCATGACTGTCATGGTGCTGACAATGCTCTGACTCCGGATGCCTGGGAGTCTCTGTGTAGAAGCAGGAAAATGGGCAAGAGTATCCATGGTCATGGAGCGCCTCATGATTTGGTCAATGTTCGGCCTGCTGCCCGGGTTGATCGTCAGTAGTCGGACGATTACTGTGAAAATATCAGTGGAAATATGCTCAGGTAAGCTGTATTTTGAGTCAAGGACCTGACGCCTCATACCTTCAGGAGTGCTGGCCAAGAAGGGAAAGCGCCCAACCACCATGAGTTAGAGGAGCACCCCTAAACTCCACCTGTCAGCGGCGAAACCATCATAGGCTTTGCCAAAAAAAAGTTGTGGGGCACAGTAGGGCAGGGAACCACAGAGATCTGTCAGCAGGTGCCCTGGGGGTTACTTTTGCTGCAAGGCCAAAATCGCAAAGTTTGGCATTGCTCGAGTTGTCAAGTAGTATGTTGTCGGCCTTAATGTCCCTATGGGCAATCTGGTTGTTGTGGCAGTACTGCACTGCAAGGAGAATCTGGGTAAATAGCCTCCATGCCTCGCTCTCATGTAAGCACCTGTGTTGCATAATGTGTCGAAAAAGATCTCCCTGTGATGCGTGCTCCATCACTAAGAAGGTGGTATCTCGTGATTGGAACATGTGCAACAATTCGATTATGTGCTGGTGTATGAGAGATTTCAATATGTTGACTTCATTAGCAACAACTAAGGCGTACTCCTCATTCCTAATAACTTTAACAGCCACACACGTTACAGTAGGAACATGGCTGGCCAGTTTAACCCTCGAAAATTGTCCCTGGCCCACGGTCTTCAGCATCTTATAGTCAGGCATGAAGGACTCCTCAGAGGAGCAGCAGCCCTCCCTGTCCTGCTCCATGATCGGGTGCTCGGTGATATGTCTAGAACCGAATTCACAAGGGGGAAGTTTAAAGAAACTGTTCAAATCAGGCCCAGGAAAATGTCTATAGCTACACATTCCTATGTACTAAAGAAGACACTCAGACACATTGCAGGCAAGCTAAGCAGGTACTTAACTCTCAGGAGAGAAAAAGCATCTTCCACAGCAGTGGACTGTAGAATATGACACCAATGGGGTATGCAGGAACCATCCAGCAACTCAGAGAATAGAACAAAATCTCATAAGCTAAGAGCTGCTCATTCGGGAGGATTACGATCCTCGATCTGAAATGAACACTGACAGAGATGAGGTTCTAGTAAAACCAGAAGGGAGAGCAGTAGCCAAGACAACAGAAACTTGAAAACCCAGAGTGTCCATGTGGGGAGATGGCTAGGGGAATTCACTCAGAGAAGAGGCAGCCACCGACTACATCGGGATGTTGTGACAAAATGGTTCCTTCGAACCCCAGGGCCTGGAGTAACATCTGTGGGGGTTAAAGATGACATCATTCAACACATGATACCCATTAGGGTTGAGACTTCTCACCTAAAAAGCCCAGGATCTCAGAGACAGTAGCCTGATGTGTTCAAAACGGTCAAGAAGATACTTGTCGACCAGAACCCTAAGATAACCCATGTGCAAGACGGAGCCACACCTTGGCACTCTAGACCCTTCCTCTCACAATCAAAATTCCTTAGTTTTGTCAGTTAAAAACAGAAATTGGTTCCTTGTGTATCAGGACATTCGAAAAATAAGATCAAGTACCTGGGTACTAAGTGTATGACAGGACTGCATTCTAATTAGTATTAGTGTGTATTCTCACATGATCAAGGAAAAGCATGAACTCAGTCTATAAAGCTTTTTCTTAAGGGCCACATGTTCTTTTGTCTGACATTCTCTACTGCTCCTGAGTGCCCATTTGTTAATAAAGTTCTCTTATGATTGAAGTTTTTAACAGGGACTTTGCAGGACACAGACGCATATTTACACATATAGACAAACACACACTCACAGAAACACACACAGACACTCACACAGGAACACACACACAGACACACATACATACAGACACACACACACACACAAACATACAGACAGACACATACACATACACACACACACACACAGACACACACCCTTCAATCAGGCATGATCCAACTAGCTGTGCCCACCCCAGGGCAGTCCTTCAGGGTCAGGTGATGCATCTAGTATAGGAGCTCAATGGGAAAGCCAGCAACATAGAGTCTGTGCTCATAAAACTAACCTTGGATAAGAGCGTGGAGACAACAACAGTGATAGGAATTAGCTATAGGGAGGATGGGGATGTCAGGAATAGAGGTAAGGGGATGTAACAGAAGGAGCATGGGGGTTTTTAGAGATTCTGGGTCATTTGTTGTGGGGTGAGTAGGGAGACACTTTACTTGTTGGGTATCTGTCCAAATAGGAAGGTTAGCTAATTGCTTCTCTACCTCTGAGACTTTGTTGGCTCTCTTTTCACTTTTATTTACTATGTTCTTGAATTCTTTTCAGCTGCCCTGTTCCATATATTTCATCAGAAAAACAGGATCTGACTATTTTCTCTGTCCTTGGCAATCATGACCTTGAACTGCCAGGAAGATCCCAAGATAACCATCTAGCTTGAGGCTTTCTGCCAAAGCCCAGACACATTGGTGCCCTTCCCTAAGAGACCATCCATTGTGGTTTGTCAGTCCTCTCAACAGTACACATGACTTAGCCTGTACTCATAAAATGGTTGCATTAAAAAGGGAAACACTGAGGGACTGGGAAGAGGTAGGCAGGAGGCAGTGACCTCAGGGGAATGTGGTCCAAGTTTGTGTACATGTATGTAAATGCCCCCATGAGAATCTTGTTCAATTAATATAAACTGATATTTTTAAATGGCAAAAGAAGAGATAAGTCCAGATGAAATGACACATTAAAATAGAGTAAATTCAGCCGAGCTTTGGTGGCACCCCCCTTAAGTCCCAGCCAAATGGGAGGCATCAGCAGGCAAATCTCTGTGAGTTTGTGCCATCCTGATCTACACATGAGTTCCAGGACAACCTCCAAAACAATACAAAGGAACCCTGTCTCGAAAACCAAAAAATAAAACATAGAGTAAATTCTAATAAAAAAATAAAAAATTACCACACATTGTACCCCAAACCAAGAAGAAGGACTGTAGATTTAGTTTAAATTCAGAGAAAGAAAATGTCTAAACCTAGAATCTACAAACTAGAGGCCACTCACTGTGTTCAGATTCAGGAACTCAACACTATCCAAGTGCAAGTAGCTCACTGATAACTGAGTATCAATAGTCTCCAACCAGCTAACAGCTTCTGAACTGTAAGGACTGGAGTCAGCCTCAGCCAGAGCTGTTAGTGCAGAGGAGTCTGTCATTGTGAGGTCACAGCAAGAAATGGACCAATGACGGCTCAGCACACCTCACTGGATTTCTTACATTCTGTCACCAAGGACAGGAAAGCTTGTCTGTTCAGTGTGGCCGTAGGAGCCTGATGACCCTGGCTACATTCAAATGGCTGTCCCCAATGTGCCCAATGAGCCACTACTTCCTATAAAGCCAACTTTCCTGGGTCCACACGATTTCCCAAATGATGTCACCTGGTGGGCACTGTGTCCAAACACTTGATTCTTTGTGGGACATTGATACCCAAACCTAACCAGGATGTGTTTCACTTTTATAATTAAACAGAATCATAAGAATGACAAAGGGTCCTGCAACATTGGCCCTCCCTAGGTTATGGACTCTGACATTCTCAGGGTAGTAGGGGCATAGTGTTTTGCTTTTTTTTTGTTTGTTTTTGTTTTTTTTTTTTTGGAAGCTACCACCTAGGACAAGGATGTAATAACTCAGCCTGTCTACACTCAAAGTTTTCAGGTTATTTTTCTCTAAAGACTGATTCCTGGGCTCTATAGGATGACTGCATTGGGATGTGGTGACAAAATACTCTGTTGCATTGCACCGTAGGGCCTGGAACAAACATCTGTGGGGGTTAAAGATAACAACATTCATCACATGGTCTCCATTAGGCCTGAGACTTCTCACCAAAGCCCAGGATCCCAGCAGCAGAAGCCTGGCATGTTCAAAATGGTCAAGAAAATATTTGTCTGCAAGAACCGTAAGACAACCCATGTGGGAGATGGAGCCATATCCTGGGACCCTAGGCCCTTCCTCTCTCAAACAAAATTCCTTAGTTTTCTCACTTAAAAACCACAATTGGTTCCTTGTGTATCTGGACATTTGACAGATAAGATCAAGTACCTGGGGACTGTGTGTATAACTGATCTGTATTCTAATTTGAATTGATGTGTATTCTCACATGATCGAGCAAAAGCATGAACTCAGTCTTTCTTAAAGGTCACATGTTCTTCTGTGTGACAATCTCTACTGCTCCTGAGTACCTGTTTGAGAGTTTTGTTAGGATGGAAGTTTTTAACAGGGACTTTGCAGGACTCAGACACATATTTATACACACACAGAAACACACACGCACACACACACACACACACACATACAACCTGGAGTCTGTGTTCATAAAAATAACCTTGGATCAGAGCGTGGAGCCAACAAACAATTGATAGGAATTAGTTATAGAGAGGATGGAGAAGTCAGAAATAGGGATACAGAGATTTAACAGAAGGAACATGGGGATTCTTAGAGATTCAGGGTCATTTGGTGTGGGATACGTACAGAGACAGTTTACTCTCTATTTCACTAAACTCAAGCATGGTTGGTAAAGTAAAATCCAAAATCTCTGATGTCAGAAGAGCCATCTGATATTAGATAAAAGAAAAACCCAAGTTAAGGGACTATTCTATTGCCATTAATCTCATAATCCTTTGGTTACATTTTTCCCCTTAAAAATTTCCCAAGGTTTAAATATCTAAATTTTAAAAATATCTCAAATGTTATAATATTAATATATTAATTAGATATTAATATATATTTAAACTTTTTGTTGTGATATTGATGGTCATATAGAGTACTAAATAATTCTAAAACAAGCTTCATCTCACATTCTGTCAATGATTTGGGCTTCTGTCTGATTCAGGTAACTAGGAATTAAGTTTATGTACCCTGAATGTACTTAACAAGTTATAATCCTTTAACCTCTCCTTGATCTGCTCATATGACATTCAAAATTTTAAGTTTTCTGCAGTGAACTGTGACAATTCCTAAGAGTGACCTTGGACGTCTCCAAAAGGATGATGAGGTCCCGAAGTGGTGATTCCACCTGCATTGTGGTAATGCCATTGAGCTGAACAACACCACCCAGAGATCACCTTTAGACTACAAACTGTGCAGGAAGATTTCAAGATGGCTAGCTGAGATGGTCCTGCCTCTTAGACTACTCCATTTAGGACTTTAGATAAGCTGAACACTTGCACTTCACACAGAGCCTGGACATCTAATTCTCTCAGGACTTGAAAATTATCTCAATTTTCTCAGTCATCTAAAGATGCAATTGCTCCCAGACAACAGAAAGTAGTCTTAAAAGCATGACACGAACATTCCCAAGAGGTGAGGAGGGTAATTTTTAGTTGTTTGGTGAATTATGGATGCTATTGTCATTTAAGGGGCTTGGATTACAAGTTGCCATTGCCCTGCCAAAAACAGGAAAGAAAGAAAATTCTTTGACTTGTAATGCAAATTAGGATAGAAAGTAAATTAGGTACAAAATGTTGGTCTCACCAGAAAAGAATAGTTATTGGAGTATTTTCTTTGAATTTGCCAAATCCATATAGACTAGAAATTGTGAGTGTAATTTTTGCCCAATAATTATACTTCTTGTATATAATTTTACTATGTTGGAGTTAAAACTTCCCATTTTTATTGAGACAAAAATGGAGAAATATTGTGGGATATTTTGATCACATTCTGATGCTCCCGAGACTGATAATAAAGTTCCTTTGAATCAGAGACTGTAACTAGCTACTAGGTGAACAAAATTAGATGTAGAGATTTTTACAGGACAGAGGACAGATAGAGAGACGCAGAATGTAGTAGGGTTGGACTTAAGAGAGTCTTGGCTTGTTTGGATCTAGGAATGAGAGAGAAGAGGTCACTAGTTGCTTCTCTGCCACTTCTATGATCATTTAGATTCTTATCCCCAATTCTGACTTCCAAATTTTTATTAATAAAGAATAAACAGATAAATGCTTCACCCCAATTGTGGCATCAACTGGAAACTAAGTGTTAAAATGCCCAAGACTCCAGGAGGCATCTCATTTAAACCACCACAGCTCTGGCAAATTTCTATCATCTTTTGGTGCCCCATATCTTAGTCCCTGTCAAGCAACCTTAAAATCTTTCTTCCAGGCTTTCTTTTAGCAATTACAGAATTTTTTTTTAGAATTTCCTTTTGAATAAGTTCAAAGCACAGGATTTATCTATAGACATTTTCTTTTCTTCTTTTGCTTTTATTACCTAATGTGTAGCTATGTGTCTATATCTGTTTCTGTCAGTTTCTGGAAAATGCATCTCTCATAAAATTAGGCTAGGTACCAATCTAAGTGTATGGCAGAATATTATTAGGCACCATTACATTGACATTTCTTCCTCTTGTGATGTTTGGTTCTATCCTAGGTCTCTGGGTCATCCAGCCTGTGGGTCCTGGTGATCAAGTCAGTGTCAAGGGTCTGCTTATTCTCTTGGGAAGGGTTTTAGCCTAGACTAGTCATTGGCTGGCCTCTTCTCCAAACTTTAGGTTACTCTTACTCCAGCACATCCAACAGGCAGGACAATGTGTACGTGGAAAATTCTGTGTCTGGGTGGACATTTTCTTAATTTTAGCAAAAGGGCTGTCAATTTTTTGATGAGACTCTGAAATACGGTCAGCTATGCATGGAGACTATCAGGAATGTTTTGCAGTCAGGAATGATGCAGGATACCTTGGGAAATCAAAAATGTTTTTCTACTTCTTTTAAATAGGATATTATTATTTTTCATTTTATTTTATTCACAATGACTAGGATCAGCTAATCCATATAGACAGATAAAGTCTGGTGAGAATAGTTCACACACGGGAAAACCAGAGCTCAGCTGTTTCTACTCCACTGTCTTCCTGGAATCAGGGAAGTGAACTTTCCCACTTGATGGCACAACTTTCTAACAAGCTCAAGGTCAGAAGTGCCCTCTACAGGTGACATGATAATAATGAGTGTAGACGGAGATGAGCTGAGGACATTTCTTCCTTACAACTGCTTCTTAGGGCTCTAATCTACAAGGATGTTGATCAAAGGCCCAACCAGGTGAGTGTTTGCTTTTCTACTCATTAATAGTGAGAGATGTAAGTAGGGCACAGTGAACTGAATCAAGGTTTTCTGTAATAAAATGGTTATAGAATTCAATGCTTAGAATTTTACTTTTGAACCACTACTGTATCACAGGTAAACACAGCAGATGACAACTGTGTTAGTCTTCCATCCTTTCCACAAAATTCCTGACATAATTTAGAGGGTGAAAAACAGAGAACCTACATCTATTCATTTGCAGGAGTATATTTATAATACTAAATTACATTTCAATTATATTTTGTATTTTCTCATTTTCCTACTTTTCTCAAGTTAACTGACTATACAGATTCATTGTTATGAAACTTAAGCCAGAAATACACAACAAATATTAACTAATTTAGTGTCTATCAGTAATTTTCTGTTCTGTTAAGTTTGCATCTATGGTAGCTATGGTCTTTTCTGGTTCATTCTCAGCTGATGTGAGCTCCAGAGAAAGATGCCACTTGATGAATGAGGAGATGCATCACTTTCTGTAAGTCATCAATATTTATAAATTAATGAATATGAAATATACAGGTTGCAGAACACAACTTTTGAAAAAATCATTTTAGATTATAACCTTTTACCTTATACTATCATCCTTTTATATTGCTTATAATACATGTGTATATTGATGTATTGTAAATGTATAATTATTGAAAATTATTTTACGTATATGGTTTATCCAATTGTAATTTTACAATTTGAATTGGACTTCCCTTCATTCAGTTTGGAGAACAAGGCTAAATTAAGTGTTTCCTGGAGCTTTTATTTATTTAAGATTTATTTATTTATTTTATTTTACATTTACATGTATATGAGTGTTTTGCCTGGACATATGTCCGTGTGCGAACTGCATGCCTGGGTTTGAGAGGACAGTGGATTCCCCAGAACTAGAGTTACAGATGGTTCTGAGCCACCATGTTATTGCTGGGAATCTAACCCAGGTCCTTTTGCAAGAGTAAATCTTTCTCAGAATCACTGAGCCACTCTCCAGCTTCTATCCTGGAGTTAAAAAAAACCTGAAAACCATGGCACAGGTACTGGAAATGTATTTTGTAGGAAGAACCTACTGCAAATGTATTTTGTTGGGAGAATCAGATGTTTGGCTCTGGCAATTAAGATTAATCTATACCTATACTAGATAAAGATTTTTAAAAGCAAATAGAATGTAAATATAAAAATGTGCGAATGGTGTTATCGTATTCATGGGTATGTTACAGTGTGCACTCATACATTAACCTCTGATTTATTTCTATACACACATGCATGCATCCATCTATATGTGAAGAATATACACGTGAACTTGACAATATAATTGGGCACCGTTTCTCACAGGAATCTAGGTAAGTGTAGTTTTCTGCTTCTTTGTCGCAAAGCTAATTTCAAAGTACAGAATTAAATTAATTCAATTAAATATTGATACTGGTAACCAGGCCAAAACACTAACACAGGCACCAAAGGTAAGACTGTTGATTGAACATGTAAAAACTGTCTGGTCAAGTAAGAAACATAAGCATAAGAAACACATGTAGATATGGAAACACGAAGTCACACATAGGGAACTCATAAAAAGACAAAACTAGAAGTCATAATATATGCAAAAGTCCTGGAGATTGTATCAAGTTCATTTTATGTTAGGCATCTACTGTTTATGTAGGACATGGGGCCTACCCCTATGAGTGGTTTGTTTCCCCAGTGAGGCTTCCTTAGGGAAAAATAATGTTCCATTTGGAGATATCTTCTGGATTTGGGACAGAGCATGTATCCACTTCTCCTTTCTGTCTAGGAGCCCATCAGGTGCATGCTGACCCATTCTCTGAGTTTATATGTGTCTGTTGCTCTTTAGAAGACCTTGTCTGTTGCTGTCCTCTGTCTACTCTGGCTCTTACAATCTTTCTGCCACCACTTCCAAAGTATTCTATGAGCCCGAGGAGAAGAATTTGATGGAGACATCGGTATAGGGCTCAGTTTTGCATGCATTCTCGCTGTGTTTTTTCTGGCTGTGGGTCTCTGCATTTGTTCCCATCTGCTTCTGGAGGAAGCCTCTCTGATGATATCTGAGCAAGAAAGATTCATGAGTTCAGTAGAGTGTCATTTAGAGTCATTTTATTGCTACATTCTTTTATTAGTATTTTGTTTTCTTCTTGGTCCCTTGGCTGATTTAAAATCAGGACCTTGACCACACAAGCAGTGTCGAGGATGGGTTCCAGTGTCCTAGTGTATCTTGCAAGCAGGACATGGTGAACTCTAATCTGTAGGGATGAAGTCTTTAGATAGGCCTCAGCTTGGATTATTCATATTCAGTTAGTTTCGTAGGTACTGTCTTCAGGACAGCAAGTGTTGTCTATGATTTTCTACAGAGCAAACAATAATCTTCACAATGCTCTGGGGTACATTCAGGTTCCCATGGAGCCCCTTTGGCCAACAATTCAATTAGATATAACGATTCCCATTACTGGAAGCTTCATTTGGTGATGAGTGGTTTCATTTGGCGTTCTGTCCCCACTGTCATTTGCAATTTCATTCAGATCACTTTCCTACATGTATATACTCTAGGAAGCTTCCATTGTAGGAAGTTTTCCACATGGTCCCTTAAGTGTTGCTTAGTTTTATCTGTCCCTCCCTGCATTCCCTTTCTTGCTCCTCTTCTCCCTAACTTTCCCCTATTTGATCCTCCCATTTTAGACCCCATCATTCATCCATAACTATCTATTCTATTTTCCCTTCCTAGTGAGATCCCTGACCTCTATCCCATAACTCTATATCTAACCTTTGTGGTTATCACATCTTGTTTATTAATGACTTAATAGCTAAAATCAAAATATAAGCAAACATATGCCATGTTTGTCTTTCTGGGTCTGGGTTACACCACTGAGAATGACTTTTATTAGTTTCATCCCTTTGCCTGCAAATTTCACTACTTTTAATGTTGGAGTAATATTCTATTGTATTAATGTACCACATTTTCTTTATTTACTCTTCTGTTAATTGAAATCTGGTTGTTTCCAAATCCTGGATATTATGAATACACAAATGTGTCTATTGTAGGATGGAGTGTCCTCTACGTATATGCCTAATAGTGGTATAGAAGAATCTTTTTTTTAATTTAAATTAGAAGCAAGCTTTTTTTTACATGTCAATCCCAGTTCCCTCTCTCCCCTCCTCCTCTGCCCCCCACTAACCCCCTATCCCATCCTCTTTCTGCTTCTCAGGGATGGTGATGCCTCCCATAGAGGATCTTCAAAGTTTGTCATATCATTTGGAGCAGGGCCTAGGCTGTCCTCAGTGTGTCTAGGCTGAGAGAGTATCTCTCTATGTGGAATGGGCTCCCAACATCCTATTATACACTAGGGATAACTACTGATAACACTACTGCCCAGGCCTCCTAACTGACACCCACATTCAGGGGGTCTGGGTTGGTTCTATGCTGGTTTCCCAGCTATCAGTCTGGAGTCCATAAGCTCCCCCTTGTTCAGGTCAGCTGTTTCTGTGGTTTTCTTCAGCCTGGTCTTGAACCCCTTGCTCATCACTCCACCCTCTCTGCAACTGGATCCCATGAGTTCACCTTCATGTTTAGCTGTGGGTGTCTCCCTCTGCTTCCATCAGCTACTGGATAAAGGCTCTAGGACGGCATATAATGTAGTCATCAATCTCATAATAAGTGAAGGGCTTTTAAGGCAACCTCTCCACTATTGCTTAGATTGTTAGTTGGGGTCATCCTTGTAGATCTCTGGACATTTCCCTAGTGCCAGATTTCTCTTTATATCATTAATGATTCCCTCTATTATGGTATCTTTTGCTTTCCTCTATTCTTCCACTGACTGAATCTTCCTGCTCCCTCATGTCCTCTTTTCTCCTCCTCTCCCCTTCTCTTTCTCCTAACTCCCTCTCCCCTCCAACAAAGCTCCCAATTAGTTCAGGAGTTCTTGTCCCTTTCCCCTTTTCCAGGGCACCATGTTTGTCTCTCTTAGGGTTCTTCTTGTTTCCTAGCTTCTCTGTCAGTGTGGATTGTAGGCTCTATGTCTCAAATCCATATTATGAGTGAGCACATACCACATTTGTCTTTTTGTGACTGGGTTACCTCACTCAGGATGGTTTCTTCTAGATCCATCCATTAGACTTCAACTTTCAAGATTCCATTCTTTTTCTGCTGAGTAGTACTCATTGTATAAATTTAACAAATTTTCTCTATCCATTCTTCAGTTAAGGGGCATCTAAGTTGCTTCCAGGTTCTGACTATTACAAATAATGCTACTATGAACATAGTTGAACATACGTCCTTGTTGTATGAATGTGCATCTTTTCGGTATATGCCTAAGAGTGGAATTGCTGGATCTTGTGTTAGACTGATTCCCATCATCCTGAGGAATCTCCATACTGATTTTCAAAGTAATGTGCATTCTTCCTGCCAGCAACCTGGGACCTGTTGCTGCTTTAGCCCCCAAATAACATACAAGATGCTGTATTAATTATGAAGCTATTGGCCATTTGTTATAGTTTCTTATCAGCAAGCTCTGACTTAATTATTAACCCATAATTACTAACATATATTTTTATAAGCACTTATCTTTCTAAGGATGCTATCCTGATGCATCCTGTCCTTCCAGGAGATCACATGGCAACCTACTATTGATTACATTTCCCAGAATCCTCATTGACTCCTATTCCCCACTATCTTGCATCCCTATTGGCCAACAGTGCTTTATTTACACGTATAAGAAAAACATATACACATAAGGACTTCCCCCATCAGCTATACAAGTTGGCACTCCCACCACTCTCTACATCCTCTCCAATATAACCCGTCATTGATGTTTTTGATTTTAGCCATTCTGACAGTAGCAAGATGATATGTCAGAGTTGTTTTGATTTGCATTTCCCTGATGGCTAAGGATGTAACAAAGGTTTTTTTCCCCAATGGTGTTTAGAGGAGGTGACATTTTCTTATGTTTAACAAATCTGCTGTTAATTTCCAAGTGAGAGTCTGAAGCCACTGTAAGTAAGTATAGATGCCATCAGGAGTGTTTTTCAAGCAGGAAGGATTCTTTGGGGAATCAAAAATGTGTTTCTTACTTCTTATAATGGGATATTTTTTTACTTTTGTTTTGTCCACAAGGACTGGGATCAGCTAATCCACATAGACATAAATGACCTGGGGAGAATAGCTCACACAGGGAAACCCAAGGTTCAGATGTTCCTACTCCACTGTTTCCCTGAAAATAGGAAAGCGAACTTTCCATTGGATGGTATGACTTTCTAACAACCTCAGTGCCCGAACTGCCCTTTTCCAGGTGACATGATAATTATGGGTCTAGAGGGAGATGAGGTGATGACATTTCTTCCTTATAACTGTTTCTTAGGCCCTCATTGTACATGGATGTTAATCAGAGGCCCATCTGGGTGAGCGTTTCTTTTTTCTCTTCATTAATAGTAATAACTGAAAGCAAGTGGTAGAATGAAGCAAGCATTTCTGTAATGCAGTGATTAGAAAATTCTCTGTTTAGAATTTTACTTTTGCGCTATAATGTATCATAAGCAAGCACAGCAGATACTTGTAGACATAAAGTATCACTCTAATGATCTGTAAAGACCATAGATTTCACTTACTATGATTTCTGAATATAATATATGTGAGAGTAGAAGGGGAGTTATTAGAAAGAGGACAGCGCCTAGCAGAAGTTTGGATAGAGACAGGAAAGGCTAATAGGGTGGAGGCAACCAATGGGTATTACATATTGGATGAAAACCTCATGAAAGTCATCTCTTTTTACAATGAATGTGCATTCATGTCTATGTAAAAAGTGGCTGCAAGTGGAATATATGAGTGAGCATATCTGATTATGGATTCTCCTGAGTGTATTATACTCTTGTACTTCTAAAAGCATGGTTCCTCCTAACTAAAGGCAGCTGTGTTAATTTTCCATCCCTCTCACAAAACACCTGAAATGGCTTGTAGTGGGAAACACAAAGAACACATTGGTTTTCAGGAGTATGTTTAGAATATTAAGATACATTTAAATTATATTTTGTATTTTCTCAATTTACTACTGTTCTCAACGTATGCATTGATGTATAAATCTTAAACTTGGAATATACAACAAATGTTAACTAATTTAGGGTTTATCAGTAATTTTCTATTCTGTTAAGTTTGCATGTACTTAGAAATTCTTTTGTTGTTGTTTTTCTTTTTTGAGATAGAGTTTCTCTGTAGCTTTGGAATCTGCCATGGAATACACTCTGTGGACCAGATTGGCCTCGAACTCACAGAGATCTCCCTGCCTCTGCCTCTGCCTCTGCCTCTGCCTCTGCCTCTGCCTCTGCCTCTGCCTCTGCCTCTGCCTCTGCCTCTGCCTCTGCCTCTGCCTCTGCCTCTGCCTCTGCCTCTGCCTCTGCCTCTGCCTCTGCCTCTGCCTCTGCCTCTGCCTCTGCCTCTGCCTCTGCCTCTGCCTCTGCCTCTGCCTCTGCCTCTGCCTCTGCCTCTGCCTCTGCCTCTGCCTCTGCCTCTGCCTCTGCCTCTGCCTCTGCCTCTGCCTCTGCCTCTGCCTCTGCCTCTGCCTCTGCCTCTGCCTCTGCCTCTGCCTCTGCCTCTGCCTCTGCCTCTGCCTCTGCCTCTGCCTCTGCCTCTGCCTCTGCCTCTGCCTCTGCCTCTGCCTCTGCCTCTGCCTCTGCCTCTGCCTCTGCCTCTGCCTCTGCCTCTGCCTCTGCCTCTGCCTCTGCCTCTGCCTCTGCCTCTGCCTCTGCCTCTGCCTCTGCCTCTGCCTCTGCCTCTGCCTCTGCCTCTGCCTCTGCCTCTGCCTCTGCCTCTGCCTCTGCCTCTGCCTCTGCCTCTGCCTCTGCCTCTGCCTCTGCCTCTGCCTCTGCCTCTGCCTCTGCCTCTGCCTCTGCCTCTGCCTCTGCCTCTGCCTCTGCCTCTGCCTCTGCCTCTGCCTCTGCCTCTGCCTCTGCCTCTGCCTCTGCCTCTGCCTCTGCCTCTGCCTCTGCCTCTGCCTCTGCCTCTGCCTCTGCCTCTGCCTCTGCCTCTGCCTCTGCCTCTGCCTCTGCCTCTGCCTCTGCCTCTGCCTCTGCCTCTGCCTCTGCCTCTGCCTCTGCCTCTGCCTCTGCCTCTGCCTCTGCCTCTGCCTCTGCCTCTGCCTCTGCCTCTGCCTCTGCCTCTGCCTCTGCCTCTGCCTCTGCCTCTGCCTCTGCCTCTGCCTCTGCCTCTGCCTCTGCCTCTGCCTCTGCCTCTGCCTCTGCCTCTGCCTCTGCCTCTGCCTCTGCCTCTGCCTCTGCCTCTGCCTCTGCCTCTGCCTCTGCCTCTGCCTCTGCCTCTGCCTCTGCCTCTGCCTCTGCCTCTGCCTCTGCCTCTGCCTCTGCCTCTGCCTCTGCCTCTGCCTCTGCCTCTGCCTCTGCCTCTGCCTCTGCCTCTGCCTCTGCCTCTGCCTCTGCCTCTGCCTCTGCCTCTGCCTCTGCCTCTGCCTCTGCCTCTGCCGTGCTGGGATTAAAGGCATGCGCCACAATCACCTGGCCATAGTTAGGAGGAATTCTTAGGTGAGGTTCACTTCATGACCTAGTAAAACATGAAATGTTCTTAACATTTTATAAATAAGCTTATTTTTTCATAGATTTGCTTCTTCTATTACAATAATTTCTAACAAAGTAGATATTTTGGGGCATGTCAAATGTATTTAGAAATCCTATATCACGTATTCATTAAATTCTTGTAAAGTTATCTTTATGAAAATATAAACTGGATAATTTTCAGTAGGAGTGTGAATGTTTTAATTCAAATGAGTTAATTTTTAATATTTTGAGTTTTTAACTTGAACCTTGTTACATTGATTCCTACATAAATTTTGGTAAGCTTTTCATTGGCAGTGAGAATTTTTTTCATTTTTTGAAAAATGTAAAATTATTTAAAGTCGAAATCCCAAAGGTTTCCTCTAGTAGTTACAAAATACATTGTTCCTTAAGATAGGCATTCACAAAATATGCCAAGTAAATTTAAGTTTAGCTGCTGAACATTGTATGTCCATTTTTATATTGCTGGACTATCGCTTACTAATGTACTTAGGAGACTAAATGGAATGGGAAGGCAGGTGTGGTCACAAACACCTGTGATCCCAGCTATTTGGAGGCTAAGGCAGGAGAATTGCAAGTTTGATTGCAGCCAGTCTGAACTATAGATTGAGACCACCCCTCTCTGTCACTGTTTCTCACCTCAAAAATACAACAAAATCATAGTGGTAAACAGAGAATTATGAAATCGTTGTTTTTGAAAAATGGAATAAAATGATGCTAGTAAATGTTATTAAGTCTCCAGACACAGGGCATCACACCATGAAAACCAAATGATGGAAGCATGAGTTTATGTTTGCAAGCATTCTAGAGTTTTCAGTTTGTTTCGAGTAATTCACATTAAAAGTCTGCACTGATGATGAGGCAGGACCCCGTGGATTTGATACAGTCACCCAGGAAACAGAGATACACTGTCCATTTTCCTTAAAGTTCATCTATCTCATGAGCATACACGATGTAACTCTCAGGTTTTCACTCAGGTGCCATAAACATATTCATGTTAGCAGCTTCAGTACACAATGTGCTCTTGATATATTCTTAGACCCAGTAGTAGTCCAGTCATACTCTCTCTCTCTCTCTCTCTCTCTCTCTCTCTCTCTCTCTCTCTCTCTCTCTCTCTCTCTCTCTCTCTCTCTGTCTCTGTCTGTCTCTCTGTCTCTCTCTGTCTGTCTCTCGCTCTTGCTCTCTCTCCCGGTGAACATTTTCATATCTTTCCCAGACTTACACCACGTGACCTGTGATCAAGCTCAGGTCTGACTGCTTCCCCACAGTCTCTGCAGTCACTGCTGCTGCTGCTTCATCTCAGGGGAGATGGCTCATAAGTGTCAGACTGCAACATTCTATTCAGTGTCCGTGTGCTGCCAGTTAGGTGAGCTAAATTTAATTCAGTTTCTAAAGAGTAGTTTATACATTGAAGTTATTTAAGAATACAAGGTAAATGCTGTGAATTAATACCTTAAATAATCACTATTTATTCCTGTTGGCATTATGTATTTCATAAAGACTTCATGGAACTAATTTGAGTGGCTAATGTCTTCATTTTCTTGAGATTCCTGAAGACTTGCTAATGTTGCTGACAGTGGACAGTACATCGGGCAATAACACTATGTATCTTGTCACCTGAAAGTCCCATAATCACTTTAAGTTCTCTCTGAGCAGCCATACTGATTTAAGGTCATTACTCACTAAACAATCTAATATGTTTGTATGTTTATTATACTATTATCACCTCAAAGCAGAATGCAAAATCCACCATAAATTCATAAAACAAGACTGTTCTAAAATCAAATACTTTGTTAATAAAAGGGTAAAATTATTTTCTCAGAAATATGTAGAGTGATGCATGAAGAAGCTCCTGGTTTCTATTGCTGTGAGTCTCTTCAGACAGCTGCCTGCAGACTGCTTTGTATTTTGGTCTGGATCCATTTCATAGTGATGTCATCTCTACTATTGTGAATGCTTGTGGATAGACTTTGTGTTTACTGCTTACAACTAAGAACTACAATTTAAACTAATGTGAAAACCCAAGCACTTCATTTTTTCAAATGAAACAAATGACTTTTTCAGTTCGTGTATATATTAACAACTCAGTGTGTAGTCATGGAAGCTACGGTTTTTCTGGTCCAGTCTCACCTCCAGTGACTTCCAGAGAAAGAAGCCACATAATGAAACAGAAGACAAGTCATTTTCTGTAGGTGATAAATATTTACAAAGCCTGGGTATGAAGTAGAGAGGGTGAAGTCCATAGCTTTGGCATGAGAAAAAAATTTAGATTACTATCTTTAACTTATATTATCATCTTTTTATTTTATTTATAATACATTGCCATACTAATAATTTATAGATGTATAATTAATAAAATTATTATTCATATAGTTTGTCCATTTGCTATTTGAAAATTGAAATGTGCTATAGTTCTTTTAGTTTGGAGAAGAAGGTTGGAATTGTTATCCTTAATAAATAAAATCACATGTTTTCTTTCTTATTTATGTAAGATTTACACAGTTTATTTTCATATGTGTTTTTCCTGCATGTATGTCTGTGCAGTACTTGCATGCAATACCAGAGGAGGCAAGAGATTCCCTGTAACTAGAGTTACAGATGGTTCTGAGTTACCATGTCATTGCTGGGAATCTAACCAGGTCCTTTGCAAGAGTAAAACATGGTCTGAACCACTGAGCCATCTTCCAGCATATATTCTAGAGCTTTAAAAAAAAGAACATCACTGTGAAGCTGCTGTAAATGTATGTTGGTGAGAAAATCATATGTCTGACTCTGATAATTCGGGTGAATGTGTTCCTTTACTAGATCAAGTTTTTAAAGAGAAAACACAATGTATGCAAAGT